ACCTATGGGTAGCTTCAGGGGTATTGTGATCATTGGTGTTCATTTTATTATACCTCATAATTTATATTATAAATATATTCTCTAGTATATATCAAATGTTTTGTGATACTTTTTTTTTTTTTCAATAAAAGAATAGCTCTAAACCCTAGGAATGATGTTAGAAGTTTAATTCTTTTAACCGGGGAACATTTGAGGACCCACCTGATCTTCCAAAATTTCTACAGATTATGTTTCTCTCTAGGCTGTCCTAGTTAGTATCAGAACTTAAATAGCTTTAGGGTTGGAAAGCTGCTTCAGCCATTTTGATCTATATATTCTCTTTGTCATCTTTCCTTAAAATTAGAAGATAAATAATAAAGTATATCCTGATCAACAAGGAAAAACCAACCTTCTTAACCAAACACATGTTGGGAGAATCAATCTGCATGGGCCATGAGCATTCCTGTACTTTTTACTGGGTGGGCCAAGGATACAGGCTCTGACTGCTGTTTACATGGGCCATTTCTCCGGGTTGTGTTTGCAGTAAGGAACCCTGAGAGATGAAGTAACATGTCTTACCTAAGAGCAGCCTTGCTAACCACTCATGGTAAAAGTAGTATATTCTACAGCTTTCTGTTTCTCAGGTATATCACAAACCCACTGTATCCACCTCAGCATCCAATTAAGTCTACCTCCATGCCCTCCATGAGACGTGGGATACATACAAAGCCTCTCATGCTTAAAATGAACATACTCATGCTGCTTGCTGCACTGTAACACGTCTTCTGCCAGTATGTGTGAAGCAGTGGCGGACTACATTGTTAACTTGCGAGTTGGCTAAAGTCCCAGACCCTTCACAGAGCCTGTCAGTTTGAGTGATGAGGAAGAGATACTGATAGAGACATGGCGTTCTGAAAGAGAAAGCACGGGCCCTCGTTGGTTGGGTTATCAGATATGAAAAGACTCTCTGAGATCTGGTAGAAAATAGTCTAACCCAGGTGGTGGTAAGAGTGGGAATGTAGAGCAAGGTCTCTCACTGTGCAGTGTGTTAAATGGGGCTGAGCGACAAGAGGTAGAATCCAAAGAAGCTGCCCAGGTGGTGCTGTGATTACGGCATGTTGTCCTATGGGGTGCAGCGGGAAAGGATGCTATTGAGAAGATGCAGCAGCAAGTCCTAGAGCCCAGCCAGAAGGCAGGCAATGTGGCTGTGGCTGAAGGAAGGCCCCTTGAAATGAGAGTAACTGCAAAGCCTTGCTTACTGGCACTCAGCTACTCTCTCCCTCTACCTCTCCCTTCAACTTCAGCTGCTTTAGGGAGGAAGGTTGGGTGTGCTGAGGAATTTCAGAGAGGAGAGGGGAGGAACTCAAACGTTTATGGCTCTGTTGGCTACAGGTGCCCAAGTACACTTGGTCCCATGTGGGGAGGGTGAGCTCGGCACCAGGGTGGCCCAAAGAGCTGAGGGTGCAGGGCAGAGCAATGACACCAGTAGAGGCTAAAAGAATGGTAGCCCTGAACACCAGTGCCTTCCGGAAGCCAGGGGCGTGCAGGGGAGGAAGCAGCACCAATTTGGAATGAGGAGCCAAAGGGCAAAAGCTGTCCTTGTCACTCCCCAGTGTCCCCCAGCTATGAGACAGTAGAGTCTCCTTAACTACGAAGATAACCCTTACGACGACGACTATTTAACCCCTGTGTTAAATTCTTTGGTCTGTGTTCCCATAGAGGAAAAAAAAAGCACTGCAATTCAGGCGATAAGAGCTTGAGCAACATTTGCAGTAAGGAAGGGAAATGAAAGTGATTCTTGAGCTGACTCAGGGTACTGCAGTTATGTCCCCTGCATATAAATGTATAATGAAATTGATGTGTTACTTGCTTATTTTGTAAATACTCATAGTGATAAGGAGACACTCTTTCATTGGATTCCCTGACCCCTTCCAGGTGATCTATTAAAAACAATATAGGGGCGCCTGGGTGGCTCAGTCGTTAAGCGTCTGCCTTCAGCTCAGGTCATGATTCCAGGTCCTGGGATCGAGCCCCGCATCGGGGTCCCTGCTCTGTGGGAAGCCTGCTTCTCCCTCTCCCACTCCGCCTGCTTGTCTTCCTTCTCTCACTGTGCCTCTCTCTTGTCAAATAAATAAAATCTTAAAAAAAAAAAAAAACCAATATAGAATCCCAAGGAGAAAAAGAGAAAATCACAGCCAATCTCCAGAGAGGCCATTGCCTATATATTATCACCACCTGCAAACACAGGCACCAGATACCTCCTGTATTAGTTTCCTGGGACTGCTGTAACAAAGTACACTACAAATCAGGTGGCTTAACAACAGAAATTTATTGTCTCCGTTCCAGAGGCTGGAAGACCAAAATTAAGGTGTCAGTAGGGTTGGTTCCTTTCCAGGGCTATGTGTTAGCATCTGTTCCACATCTCTCTCCTTGGCTCATAAATAGCTGACCTCATAGTAACAAGGCATTCTCTCTGTCGACATGCCTCTGTGTCCAAATTTCCCCATTTTATGAGGACAGCAGTCATATATTGGATTAGGGCCCATCCTAATGACTTCATTTTAACTTGATTGATTCTGTAAAGACTCTTTCTCCAAATACATCACATTCTGAGATAGTAGGGGTTAGAACTTGAACATATGAATTGTGGAGAGGACACACAGTTCAACCCATAAAATACTCCTTTCAAAAAGGGGAGGCAGCTATTGACTACTACTAAGCTCTTGATAAAAATGAGTATCTGACCCATGGAGGCTTGTGACTCTCAGGCTTCCTCCCCATTTTGGGGTGGGTCAACTAGGACATGACAATTACAAGGAAAGGGCCTATTTGCTGGTCAAATAAAAATGTATTTGAGGCTATGACTGGCCTGGCCCTACTGTCATCTCAGTTTTGCATAAAGAAGTAGTAGCTACCCCTTTGGGAAAATCTTCATCTTCTACTCTGCCACATGAAGTAGAGCTACTGGTTTAATAGGGCCCTTGGATTCACAGAGATTTTCCTAAATGCATGGGCCTGGTTTACCTCGGGTTCAGCTAAGCTGAAAACTGATCGTGCTGATAGTGTTCCTGCTGGTTTGAACTCAGCACTAGCTATGGTGATCACTGGGATCAGTGGGCAGAAGTCAAGGCTGTTCTCAAAACTCTGGTCAGCTGGGCTGAGGGGCAGGTTGTTGGGAGGGGCAACTGTCCATGGGCCCTGAATGTCCCCACACATTCTTGCTGAGTAGGCCAAGAATACAAGGCCCAGACTGCCCTTTATTCAGGCCATTTCTCTGGGTTGTGTTTACAGCGAACGACCTTGAGGAATAAGGTCAAGTCCTCCCCCAACTCTTCTGGCTCGCTGATCACTATAAAAGCAGTAGATTCCCCAAGCCCAGTGTTCCTCAAATGTGCCGTAAACCCACTGAGTGCACAGCACCCATTTAAGTCCATCTTTGTCACCTCTGTGAGACTTGAGGGGCATGGGGATACTCATGCCAACCTCATGATCATGTTGCTTACTGTGCTATGAGTAATGAAGTCCTTTGTCTCTGACGACGAAGTGTCTCCTGTATTCTGCCAGCGTCCATGAAATAGTAACAGGCTAATTCGCTAGCTTGCAAGTGGGATAAAATCCCAGACCTTCAACATATCCTGACTTCACTGACGTAAAATGTATTTTCCAGAGGTCTTGGACAAGGACTCTCTGGGTATATGACATTCTTGGCTGGTGTGTATGCCTAATGTTTGGTCTCCCCTCGGTCACTCTACTCTGTTACAACAGTTTGGTTTCCATTCTTTAAATTGTTCCATTCTCCTAAAAGAAATCATTAGCCTGCACAAGACACTCTTAATAGCAGTAATAACAGTAGCAACAACTAATACTTTTAAAGTGAAAGACACTGTTCTAAAAGACTTGAGGCATTGTTCTGTATACTCTCTATACACTACCATTATTACTCCTCAAAACAACCCTCTGAAGGGGATACTGTCACTCCAGTTGACAGACTAGGAGACTGAGACACACATCATACTGTTAGGGGTAGAGATGGGATTCAAACCTAGTTGGTCTGGCTTTAGTCCTTGCTTTTAACCACTTGATATATTGCCTCACGGTAGGATCTTCTACTCCCCGGGCCACAATGAACCCCAAAGGCCAAGAGATCTTTGTTTGAAATCTTAGGAAAATAATTTTAGTCAAACTTTTAACAGTTGATTATGACATCCAACACTTTAAAATCCTTTTTGACAACCTATATTAGGCAATCAGACAATGTTCTACTTTGCTTTGATCTTTTCTATCCAGCCTATGTATAAATCTAGTGTCAAGTTTTCACACTGTATATTAATTTCCTATTGTTGCTATAACAAATTACCGACTTCAGTAGCTTAAAACAACATAAATTTATTATCTTATATTTCTGGAGTCAGAAATCCAAAGTGGGCTGGTGGGACTGTGTTCCCTCTGAGCTCTAGGAGAGAATCCATATCCTTTCCTTTTCCAGGAGGCTACCTGAATTCCTTTGCCCTTCACTCTATCTTCAAAGCCAGCAGTGTAGCATCTTCAAATCTCTCTTTTAGCTCTGACTTTGACCCTCTTGCCTCCCTCTATCCCTTATAAGGAGACCTTTGTGATTACATTGAGCCCATACAGATAATCCAGGATAACCCAGGACCTTCCCTATCACAAACTCTTTAACTTAATCACATTGCAAGGTCCCTTTTGCTATGTAAGGCAACTATTCATAGGGGATTAGGATGCAGATACTTGGTGAGGGGAGGGGCATCATTCTACCTACCCTACTCTCTAAGCAGTTATGTCTTACTTCAGTATGGAAATTTTTACACAAGTATCTGGATTGGAGATCTAAACACACCCATTCACCTGATAATTAATAATGCATTTCATCTTGATTCTGAGGATGGAGCCCCAAGAACATTTTACCTTTTGGGGTCAAAGAGAACAGTACTGCTGGAGTAAATGTTGTAGAAACTTTAACCACTGTGACAACATAAAAGCTTAATTATTTGAAAATGTACCTGGAGTCGAGCATTCATAAGCATAAACTCCTGTTGGTTCTTCATGTTTTCACTCATAGATTTTGAGAATATAAACCCCATCTTGACCTAAAATGTGAAAAAGCAAAGAGGCTTAAAACAATGTATTCTACATATATCCTCATATGTTCTGCTTTGGCTACCATAGGCTTATAACAATGTAAAAAAAAAAAAAGACAAATTTCCTGGGAACATGGTGTAGATTATAGTCCTTACTTCTAACTAGCTGTCTGATCTTCGGCAAACTTAACCAGCCTGCCCAACATTTATTCACCTAAGACCAGGGGACTTAGATGACTTCCAAAATCTTCTCCCGCTCTCCATGTTTCCTGATTTTTCTTCCCACTGTAAATCTTGAAGAACTGAATGCTTACAAACAAACAGACCACTCTCTTTTCTGTGAGGGACAGGGTAGATACCATCCATCCTCTTACCTTCTGTACAGTTGGATGACAGAAACTTTGCTTCTGAGAAGGGGTGATTCAAAAGATGCATTGTACACCTTGAGGACAGATTTCTCTCTGCTCCTTGCATTGTGTTTTAGGAAGTTTTAGGTGTCTCAAGGTCACTGTGTCAGTACTCTTCCTGTAATCCCTACCTCTCTCCTACAGTACCACTTATTATGTCACCCACTGCTGATATCCCTTGGTCATCCTCTTCTGGCTTCACCTTTGTTCTCTTCAGGCTACTACTCAAGTTCTCAAGAGGGGAAGAACAAAATAATACTTAAATGTCCTGGGAAGAGCAATTTTTAAATGAATACATGGCATTGCCTATCTTAGTTATCTTAAGAAGTTCTTAACTGGGCCATCACTTCTAGGGGGCCCAAATTTCAATTTTCTGTTCTTAATCCAATTGGGTAGATACAGAAGACCTTCAGTTAGTTATTGATTTTACTTTCAGAAACTGCAAAACTCAGGGAAGTTACAACTGCTCTATTTTCAATAATATTGATGATTCTCTTTGGTAGGCTACTGAGAAGGGTGGGGAACCTTGGGTCAGAGTGGTCAGTCTCAATGCTTTCTACCCAGATTCACACTCTTCTGTGAGAAACCCAGCAGAGCTACTATTTTCCATATCCTTATCAGGAAGTAGTAGGTTCTGACTAACTGGGGAGAAGATGTGGGGGGAGGGAGGGCATTTCACGCTAGGTAGGTAGAATGGGTTATCCTTGCTAGTTTGGCTCCAGGTGAGTGGGAACTGCAAGCCAGCCTTTAGTGGCTTCCCTATATTCTGGCCAAAGATGCATCCTTGAATTATAGGGACCTCTGAGCCAGAGTCAGCCTCAATGCTGGACATAGGAAGATGAACTGTAGAGAAGAGGCAGGTCATGAGGTTTCCTTCCCCCTCTGCCACTGCCCCACTCTACCCTCTGTCCAGAGAGTTAGAGGCCACCCCGTGAGGATATGGAGACCTACAGAAATTCTCTCCTTTCTGGAGACTTCGACAGCCCCAAGTCAGCTGTCTGCAACAGCAGACCAGAACTTGCTTGAAGGAGGGAGCAATATGTTTTCCATCTTGGTATTCCCCTAATGTCTTTTGCCCATAAATGTTTGCATGATTGGTACAAGAGAAACCTAGCTCAGGTCACTTGCCATTCCTTATTTTTTTTCTGTACATAGGAGTAGATGACTGAATTTTTCCATATGCTGCAAACATTTATAAAGAAAACAACTGTCTTCTAATCCCATTCCTATACACACACACACACACACACACACACACCATATATCACAGAATTGTGTCTCGTACAGTGCCCCTGTTTATAAGGGGGTGGGACCTTTCCTGAAGTGAAGAGATAGTCCTCATGTCAGCCATCTAGGAAAGAGAATATCTGGAAGGTTAGGGTGTAGGCTTACCTGTTGTGGACCTCGGTTTCTTGGGTCTGGATGGTAGTTTGGATGTGTTAGAGAATGCTCCCAAGGGCTAAAGGTAGAATCCAAGCAGGATGAAGAACTTCTCCATGTTCAACGGAAACCACACCTGAAAATGAGTGTACAACACCTTGTGAACTATGCCTTGGAGTTCAGTATTGTCAACTTCCCTCTCCTTCCCCACCCTAACAAAGCCGTTTTCCAAAGTCTAGGAGGTTCCTTAGGATGCCCAGAATACTCTCTGCTTTCTCTCTCCGAAATCAAGCAAGAATGATCTTGCAATAGGGATAATTTTGAATTTACTCGAATAAGGTAAGTCTTTCAAAAACTCCAACATTTTATCACTGGTGACACATGTCTCCCTACTGAGAATGCTGATTTGGTCCCTTCTGCTTTCATTTTCCTTTGATTACTCCTGAGACCTTAGAAGGGGCCCTTTAATGCTCCAGCCCCTTTCAGCTGTGCTGTAGTTTACAATGGGAAGGGGAATTTCTGGGAGTGCAGTGGCTGAGGCAGCCTTCCTCCAGTCACCCCTGGGAACTAGGATTTGATTTTACTTATTGAAAAAGAGAGAGTGGGAGATAAGTTCCTGTCATGTCATCCAAATGTCGGTGCTGATTCATTTCCTGATCAAATGACACGTTACCTACATTTATGACTGGTGGCATAATTAAAATCGGTTTCTGGTCTTTTTTACGTTCCATTCAAACTGGGCCACTTCCCCCGCGTATTTCAGCCCAGAACCAGCCCAAGGCTTACGTACGGGAGGTTTTCCCTAGTGTAGACCCAAGTGTTGTAACTCGGGTATTTCCTGCAGTCTTGCGCTTATTTCCGTTAATAATGCCCTGCCTACTTTCCCCAACTCGGTTACATCGAGACGGGAGGGGCCAGGCGTCCTTGCGAGGAGAACGGGCTCTTCGGAAGCGAGGTTGGAGATGCCGGTCAGCGCTGGGGACCGGAGGGGAGCCAAGTGGGGGTGCCCCCGAGGAGCGGGCGCAGCGCGGCCCGGCACGCGCGGGGCCTTGGAGCCCTCGCGGGCAGCGCGGCCCCCCCCCCCCCCCCCCCGCTCTCGGCCCGCGGGCCGGCCGGCCGGCGCTCACTCCCTGCGCCGGGGGCGGCGACGGTGCGGAGAGAGCGTCCTCACTGCAAAGGCCTGCGGTCCCGGGGGGCCCCTTGACCGGGACTGGGCCGGGACTGGGCCGGGACTCGCCCCGCAGAGCCTCGGGATTGGACGGCCTTGACAAAGACGCCGAAGCTCGGCCAACCGGCGCCGCGCTGGCCTCCTTAAAGGGGCCGCTCGCCCGACTGAGCCTGGCGAGTGCTTTGCCGCGGGCGCCGGCGCTGCAGACGCAATTCCAGCCACCGGCAGCCCAGGGGCCGGTTTTGAGGGGACGAAGAGGAAGCGGAATGAGAATCTCTCGTAAAGCCCTCAGCGAGGTCCCTGAGTTACCCACGCATGTGGGGAGATCCATGCTGCCACCGCGAGCCGAGCCGCTGCAGGTTTAACGAGCCATCCCAGTTACTCTCCAGAAATGGTGTCATCCACCGCTGTTGGATCTGTTTTCCAGAAGAGACTGTGTCTCGCGAGGGGCTGTCACTCAAACATAATCCACGTGGCGAACATTTTTTAAAAACTGAAGCATAGTTGACACACAACGTTACAGTAGTGTCCGGTGTACCCCATAGGGATTTGACAAGTGTGCGTGATGCTGTGCTCACCGCGCGTGTAGCTGCCGTCGTCACCACACCCCTGACTGCAGTACAGTGACCGTCCCCTCGCCGTGCCGTTCGTCCCCGCGACTTACTCATTCCATCGCTGGAAGCCTGTACCTCCCGCTCCCCTTCGCCCATCTTGCCCATCTCCTTACCCCCCTCGCATCTGGCAACCGTCGGTTTCCTCTCTGTATTTATGGGTCTGTTTTTGCTTTTGTTTGTTTATTCACTTGTTTTGTTTTTTGGATTCCACGTATAAGTGAAATCATATGATATTTGTCTTTCTCTGTCTGACTTATTTCACTTAGCATAATACCCTCTATATCCACCCATGGTTACAAATGGCAAGATTTCGGGGCGCCTGGGTGGCTCAGATGGTTCAGCGTCTGCCTTTAGCTCAGGTCATGATCCCGGGGTCCTGGGATCGAGCCCCACATTGGGCTCCTGGCTCAGTGGAGAGCCTGCTTCTCCCTCTGCCTCTTCCCCTCTCCTCAGCTCATGCTCTCTCTCTCTTTGTGTCTCTGTCAAATGAATACGTAAAAAAAAAAATCTTAAAAAAAAAACTAATGGCAAGATTTCATTCTTTTTTATGGATGAGTAATATTCCAGTGTGTGTGTGTGTGTGTGTGTGCATACACATACATATATATCACCTCTTTATCCATTCATCTATTGATGGATGCTTGGGTTGCTTTCATATGTTGGCTAGTGTAAATAATGCTGCAATAAACATAGGGATACATATATCTTTTTGAACTAGTATTTTCATTTTCTTTGGGTAAATACCCAGTAGTGTAATTACTGGATCATATGATAATTCTAATTTTAACTTTCTGAGGAAACTCCATACTGTTTCCCACAGTGGCTGTACAGGTTTGCATTCCCACCAACAGTGCACGAGAGTTCCTTTTTCTCCACATTCTTGCAAATACTTGTTATTTCTTGTCTTTTTGATCCTAGCCATTCTTACAGGCGTAAGGTGATATCTCATTGTGGTTTTGATTTGCATTCCCTTGATGATTAGTGATGTTGAGTGTCTTTTCATGTGTCTGGCATTCTGATGTCTGCTTTGGAAAAATGTCTATTCAGGTCATTTGCCCATTTTTTAATCGGATTGTTTATTTTTTTGGAGTTAAGTTTTATAAGTTCTTTATATATTTTGGATATTAAGCCCTTATTAAATGTATCATTTGCAAATATCTTCTCCCATTTTATAGGTTGCCTTTTTATTTTGTTGATGGTTTCCCCTGCTGTGCAAAAGCTTTTTATTTTGGTGTAGTCCCAATAGTTTATGTTTGCTTTTGTTTCCCCTGCCTAAGGAGACATATGTAGGAAAATGTTGTTAAGGCTAATGTCAAAGAAATCACTGCCTATGTTTTGTTCTAGGAGTTTTATTGTTTCACGTCACATTTAGGCCTATAATCCATTTTGAGTTTGTGTGTGGTGTAAGAAAGTGGCTCAGTTTCATTCTTTTGCATGTTGCTGTCCAGTTTCCCAGCACCATTTATTGAAGAGACTTTCATTTCCCCATTGTATATTCTTGCCTCCTTTGTTGTAGATTAATTGCCTTACAAATGTGGGTGTATTTCTGGGCTCTCTAGCCTGTCCCACTGATCTATGCATCGATTCTTACGCAGCTCCATACTGTTACTACTTATACTACAGTTCTGAAGTATATCTTGAAAACTGGGATCGTAATACCTCCGGCTTTGTTCTGCTTTCTCATTTCAAGTTCTTTTCTTTTGTGGTTCCATATAAATCTTAGTATTCATTTCTTCTAGTTCTGTATAAAACACTCTGGGTATTTTGATAGAGATTATATTGAATTTGTAGAATGCTTTGGGTAGTATGGACATTTTAACAATATTAATTCTTCTAATCCATGAGCATGGAATATATTTCCATTTGTTTGTGTTGTCTTCAGTTTCTTTCATCAGTGATTTATAGTTTTCAGAGTGCAGGTCTTTCACCTCCTTGGTTAAGTTTATTACTAGCTATTTTATTCTTTTTGGTACAATTATAAATGGAATTGTTTCCTTAATTTCTCTTTTTGCTACTTATTAATGTATAAAAATGCCACTGATTTCTGTATGTTAACTTTGTATCCTACAACTTTACTGAATTTAGTAGTTCTAATAGTTTTTTGTGGAGTCTTTAGGGCTTTCTATGTACAGTATCGTATCATTTGCAAATAGTGACAGTTTATCATCTTCCTTACTAATTTGGAAGCTTTTTATTTCTTTTTCTTGTCTGATTGTTATGGCTAGGACTTCCAGTATTGTGTGAATAAAAGTGGAAAGAGTGTGCATTCTAGTCTTATTCCTGATCTTAGAGGAAAAGTTCTCAGTTTTTCACCACTGAGTGTGATGTTAGCCGTGGGTTTTTAATATATGGCCGTTATTATGTTAAGGTATGTTCCCTCTAAACCCACTTTGTTGCGTTTTCAGAGTTATAAACATTTTAATGGCTTTTCTATTTGCAAAATAGGTTTAATGTTGAAGGTGGACTTTTTTTTTCTGGTTGAATCTAAACACAGTTTAAAGATTATTTATTTGGGAGAGAGAGAGATGGAGAGAACATGTGGATGGGGAGGGGCAGGGGGAGAGTTGGAAAGAGGGTCTTTTTTTTTTAACTTTTTTAATTAACTTTTCATTTTGAAATAATTTTAGACTTACAGAAAATATTTTACATAGTATAATTATTGAAACAATTGAATCAACACTGACTGAATACAATCAACTAATCTATTGGAATTACCCACTAGCATTCTTTTCCTGGTTCCAGGTTTCAATCTGGGATCCCAGATTTCATTTATTTGCCATGTTTTCTTAGTCTTTTCCAATTTGTAACAGTTCCTCAGTCTTTCTTTGTTTTTCATTACCTTGACACTGTTGAGTATTAGCCAGTTATTTTGTGGAATGTCCCTTGGTTTTGGTTAGTCTGTTATTTCTTCATGATTAAAGTTATGTACTTTTTACTAAACTACCCTAAAAGTAATCGATGCCCTTCTCAATGCTTCATATCAGGAGGTACACAATGAAGATGTGTCTTATTACAGGTGATGTTTACATTAATGACTTGATTAAGACAGTGTCTTTTGTGCTTTTCCAGTGTAAAATTACTATTTTTCTCTTTGGAATTAATAAAATTCTTATGGAGAAATACTACAAAAATGCAATTTCCTATTTCTTATTCTTTAATCCACTAATTTACTGTCCATTATTGCTTCTTTTTATTTTTTATTATTAACATATTGTGTATTATTTGTTTCAGGGTACAGGTCTGTGATTCATCTGTCTTACACAGCACACAGTGCTCACCACAACACATACCCTCCCCAGTGTCCATCACCCAGCCACCCCATCCTCCCACCCCACTCCACTCCAGCAAACCTCAGTTTGTTTCCTGAGATTAAGAGTCTCTTATGGTTTGTCTCCCTCTCTAGTTTCGTCTTGTTTCATTTTTTTCTCCTCTGCCCCATGATCTTCTGTTTTGTTTCTTAAATTCCACATATGAGTGAGATGATATGGTAATTGTCTTTCCCTGATTGACTTATTTCACTTAGCATAATACCCTCTAGTTCCATCCATTTTGGTGCAAGTGGCAAAATTTCATTTTTGATGGCTGTGTAATATTCCATTGTGTGTGCGTGTGTGTGTGCATATCGATATGTATATATTGATATATGTATGTATGTGTGTGTGTGTATATATATATACATATATACATATATATATACATATATACATATATATATATATCACATCTTCTTTATCCATTCATCTTTTGATGGACATCTTGGCTCTTTCCACAGTTTGGTTATTGTGGACATTGCTGCTATAAACATCGGGGTGCACGTACCCCTTCGGATCCCTGCATTTGTATCTTTGGGGTAAATACCCAGTAGTGCAATTTCTGGGTCATAGGGTAGCTCTATTTTCAACTTTTTGAGGAACCTCCATACTGTTTTCCAGAGTGGCTGCACCAGCTTGCATTCCCACCAACAGTGTAGGAGGGTTCCCCTTTCTCCACATCCCCGCCAACATCTGTTGTTTCCTGACTTGTTAATTTTAGCCATTCTAACTGGTGTGAGGTGGTATCTCATTGAGGTTTTGATTAGGATTTCCCTGATGCCGAGTGATGTTGAACACTTTTTCATGTGTCTGTTGGCCATTTGGATGTCTTCTCTGGAGAAATGTCTGTTTAGGTCTTCTGACCATTTCTTGATTGGATTATTCTTTGGGAGTTGAGTTTGATAAGTTCTTTATACATTTTGGATACTAGCCCTTTATCTGATATGTCATTTACAAATATCTTCTCCCATTCTGTCGGTTGTCTTTTGGTTTTGTTGACTGTTTGCTTTGCTGTGCAAAAGCCTTTTATCTTGATGTACATAGCAGTACTTTCTCAAGAAACAAGAAAGGCCTCAAATACACAA